ATGTTCCCTGGTTGCCAAAGAGCCTTTCTGGGTGTCTTGATGGAACGGGAAAAGCATCAATCCCTTCTCTTGTGGGTTGGCCGAGGACCAGAGTTGCAATACTGACAGAGGGAATACAAGCAAAGAGCAAAGCTATGGGACAAACCAATCAAATGGACCAAATCCTGTTGTCTCATTCAGATGGAGGTTACTCTTGCTTCACACACACACACATACACACACACACACACACACACACACACACACACACACCACCAAAACAAAACTCACAAGCCTCATGTTTGTAGCCTCTGCGTCTCACGCTAACCACCCCAGAGGCATCATTTCATAGGGCTGTTGATTTTAGAACAACATTCCTAGCCTGTGTAATTATTTGAACGCACAGGAGGTTTCTTTTTCAAAATGACTTTCTTTCGCTCAGCACCCAGCACCCCCCACCTACACACAAACATCTCTTGCTCATTTGTGTGTCGCGCTGTAAGTAATTGAAGTGTCGGTTCCTTGTTAGCCTCCAGCGACAGGCGGCAGAGGAGGGAAGGGAGGGGGGGGGCCGGTCTTTAAGTCAATTAGCGAAAGTAGGAACATGGCACATACATGGAGTAATATCGAGGCAGCTCTGGCTTTTTTCATCCCTACCCGTCTATATTGGGCATCTCCCTGACTTCATATCATGTTGCCCTCCAGGGACAGACAGCTACATTGCAGCCGACCATTGAGGACAATTTCAGGCTGCAGGATTCTCAGAGTTAAATCGAAGTTCTCTCTAAGAGCAAGCAAAATAATGTTGCAAGAAAAAGTGCACACAAGTTTAAGAAACTGGGAGTTGATGGTGTTATCCAATATCATGTAAACCCACAATTGTTTAATGTGTGGTGTGTTTGAGAGTGAGGTAATTTCTTGATCACCGGGCATAAAAAGTGTCTAGGTGACTGGATCAACGGTCTTACCTCTGGAGGGGGGGAAAGCCTATTTTTTAAATCAGCATATAAAAAAAAAAAAAACATCTCCCTCTTGTCGGGAAGGGAAACTAAAAGAGAAAAAAGTGAGTTTGTTCTTCTGTGGTCTTTGGAGTTTCCACTGATCTGTGCAGATCTGAGGGCTTATTCTGAGCCATGTTCATGTGTTTCTGGCCTCTTCCTCTGACACACACACACCTCTACTCGATGTACTCTGCTCCCTAAGAAACACATCTGTCGAATTTCCCCTAATAGTTTCCCAAAGAAAAGCTCAGCCCACCAAAAACCACACACGGTTTGAGCGGGCTTGTGACTTCAAAATATGTCTGTTCTGCTTCTCCTTACTCTGCTGATTTATTCAAGTGTGGCAGACATGATCTAATAACATCTGTGATGTAACAAGTAATAACTAATTTGTGGGAATTTCCTTCAGGTGATGACATGATGTATAATGAGAGTTTGCAGTGAATACTTATTTAGTTGATTCATTTCATTTGAAAGGAAGCTTCTTGTGCAGAATATCATATCACTAATTTCCCACTGGACTCAATTTGTCAAAGCCTAGTATTAGAAATATTCAACAACCCCACACCCAGACGCTGAAGCAGAGCAGGAACACCCGGATCTGCTACTAACCTGCATTTCTGGCAAATCAAGCAAAAAGGCATTTCAAACAGCCTTCATGTGACCTCTGTGTTTAATGCTATGAATGCATAACAGTGTGCCTGGCGCAACACTGGGAGCAGACCTGCTTTAAGGGTCCATTAGGGATGGATGATGTCTGGCCCTGGACTCTTAGCGTCCCAAAGCAGGACTCTGGACTTCCTGCAGTCCAAAATGAGGGAAAGGAAGGGCTGGAGAAAATAAAAAGGTGCTGCAGCCAAACGGGACCAATATGGCTGCAGACACAGCCAAAAGCAGAGCGCTCCTACACCGCCATAAATTATCATCTACTCAGGATGTCACATTGTCGTTGACTCCACGAGAGACCTCTTCATCTTCTACAGTGACTCTGGCAGGCTCTATTATGGCATGATACAGCGTCTCACATGTTTAAGTCAACATAAAGGTATTTACATAACGGCATCGACCATGCCAGCAGAAAAGCCAATACTCCATCACAACCAGTAACCAAATAGCTTTTATCCATCTGTTTCCTGATTCTGTCCTGTGGGCAGATAAATCACAGCTTTTTCCATCCTGTCTCCCTCAATACAAACAGACACGCTCCTTTACGAGGCTGCCCTCTCTGACTACTAGAGCAGGGATTTGTAAACCCATGTCTTGAGGCAGGATTCATAGCGAGGGAGGAGGCAGATGGGGCGTGTGTGTGCATGGCTTGTGTCTGCAGACAGTACACAAGCTTGCCAAGAGCACAGACAGTAATCTTGGTGCGGTGCATGTCAAACATTTAGTAAGACTGGCGAACAATCAAACCAGCCTGTTAGAGACAGTGTTCTTGTCCTGCTGGGGGAAGATTTAAGTCGGGACGGCTACGAGCGAGAGCAAAGCATGGCAACATCTTTAAAAGCATCCTAACAATACTGTTGTTGAATAGGTAACCAGGCACTCGATTTCCCAAGGACTGACAGATTCAGAGTGTGCAACAACTATTGATTTGGCTCTGCTCTGAATTCCTCATTATCCACAAACCATCTCCCCCGTCAGCTTAACCTTGTCACCACCTCGCAAAGGATCGTGACCTCAGCCTGCCCCCCTCAGACCCTAACTCCAACCCAAACACCCGGCAGGCCTCATGCAGGCTCTGGTGACACCTAAGGGACTCCTTGGCTCTGTAACATGCCACTCTTACACACTTGCCCGGGATAAATACTTACACCTCGCGGCCACAGTGGCTCGCACTGTAGCCCACCGCCCTTTTGTGCACCGCGTCAGGAAGAAAAGCATGCAGAGAAAAATCAACAAGGGGCGGACGCATTTTAAGAATGGGTTTAAATATACATTGGAGAGGCCTTTTAAAGGCTGCTCAGAGGATATGTTGGAACCAGTTCTACCGGACTAAGCTGTAAAGAGGCTTTTGGAACATGAAATTATGGACATCTGGGACTTACTTTTTGGCGTGTCCGGATGTATGATCAGGTATAGCGTGCAAATTGCAATAGGCTTTAACTGCCCTGTATCAACACTAGATTAGGTCATCAGAGTTGGCCTGTGCAGCGGGGCTGTTTAGTCCAGAAGTCATGGATGGAAGTGACATATCAATCCCGCTGAGAAGAGCCCTACGGGAAGCGGGTGTAACATTTCGGAAACAACTACGGGCCATTTAAAAGAAGGCGTGTGCAAAAGTTTAAGCGAGAAAACACTAAGGGATTCACAGGATATTGTTGTAGAAGGGGCTAGGTGTGTAACGCGTGTGCCTGTATCTTGGAGAAGAAAAAGTGAGGGTGTAAAAGCCAAAGTAAGGTAGTGTTGGCGTAGGAAGTTTATGGTGCTAAAAAGGCCAAAATGTTGCTCTGGCTCTGTCACTCTCCTGTTTAAACAGATCTGGCACTGTTCAACGCTAAATATGATCTCAAGCCAGCTCACCGGGCAATTATAACATGTTAGAAAAATATACACTGCTTTTCAATGTGTTGCTCCTGTTTTTTTTTCTCTGGCTGTAATTTCATGTCATTATGGGGAAAGGTTAAAATGGGGACTGCGGGTGCTAATACGGTTTCATTTTTTCTACGCTCACACTTTTTTATGACAAACAAAATTGACTTGAATGAGGTCCCACCTATTTCTATTTATACTAAGAGTAATGCTGTTAAAATGACCACCAAAGAAACAGCCACATGTTTTGAGAACATTTTCCAGAGTGAGGGGGAAAACACATGGCTAACATGGCATGTGTCTTAAATCTTTGTACAGCCATGAAATTAATATATGTTCTAAATATCACATAAAAGCCTAATCCAATATAAATATAACCCATTTACATTAACAAAAATTGCCACAGAAATTGCTATAATGTTTACTTGGCAAGCTTTCAGAGCACGTCTGGATGGCTTTTACAGAGCATGTCTTGAGGTACAGGCAAACACTGCCAAAAAACATTCTTGGAAGACTTAGCTGTAGCGCTGCGCCAATGACTCGAGCTGTTGTCATCCACTGTTTAGACTTGCTCGTGAAAAAGAGACAAGTCCAGAAAACATGAATTTTGTTACAAGTAGGGTTGTTTTTTTTCCCTGTAGAGGGGCGGCAAATAGAAAGGACTGATGGGAAATGCAAGGAACAGGTTAGGCTCATGTTTTCGGACACGGTGCCCACATTTATAAGTTCAACCACTATGTGCTACCAGAACTCCTCACCTGCACAAACACAAACCTATCCGGTATGCTCTGGCAGCTCTCTTAATTACCGCTGTGACAGTCAAACACAGGTCATCACAGTTAAATCATTGCTGTCATATCCTGAGTGGGTGGTGAAAAGGTCATAACTCCAAACATGGATTTTTTTAAAGTGTCCTAATTTTCATAAACGCTTTGAACTAAAAATGGAGCAGCTGTAGAAAGAACGGGTTTCAACACATTACATTTCCATGCTACTTTATAATGGCCACTGAATTAAACACAGCTAAATGATATCCTTTAAGAACAACCCTGTCTCCACACTCAAACACATAACACAATCAAATGACTTGTTTGCTGTAGATTTTGTCCATAAAACTCGTTGGTTAGGTTTAGTAAAACATCATGGTTTGGCTTTAAATGTTGTTATGTCGTTTTAAGTTAAGGACGTACATTTAAAAAAGGACTTGGTTTGGTGAAATTCCTGTGTTTGTTTAACCTATCCAGCCCAGCTTCATCCTTTTTGCAGACTTTGTTTACTATTACTAAGTATCAGCATTTCATTTATTTAAAAAAAATGTAATTTTACATCTAATGTAAAAAAAACGCTTCCCAGAACACCAAATGTAAGTTCTCATAAATGATCTGTAATGATTTCAGGCAAAAAGTAATCTGCAGTATGTCCCACAGCAGCACAACTGAAACATGTTAAAAAGCATATAAAGAATGACAAATGGTGAGAAAAACGTACCCAGACACTCATTGGCCTCGCGAGCATTGGCCCTCTGCCACGGCCGGTCGTAGTGAAAGGGCTTGCAGCGGTCACATTCAGGGCCCTCTGTGTTGTGCTTGCAGTCACACACCAGTTTCCCTTCCTTGTCTTTCAGACAGCGGGAGCCGTGTCCGTTGCATTTACACCTCCCGCCCACCTGGAAGTCTCCCACTGCATAGAAATAAGTTGGCAGCGACGATGTCACCGCCATGGGGTCGTCGCTGTTGCTCGCAGCCCCCAGTCCCTGCTCCCGGGGAAGCTGGGGCCGGCTGAAGACCACGCGGATGTCGGTGACAGTCACCCAGTCCTGGAGGACGGGGCTGTTGTCAAAGTCTTTGCCAGAGGGCCGTCCGTCCAGAGTGCTGAACGCGATGAGTCCTCCAGACAGTGGGTAGAGGTCGGTGTGGCCATCTGTGCATAAAGCCTCCTGCTCGTTCTGCTTGGTAATGGACGCTTTGTTTGGCCGATTGTACAAACGACGGCACTGCGAGGAGTAGAACTGGTAGGGCATCCAGGTCTTGCCGTAGTCCATGCTCTTGTAAATGGCCAGGGACTCGGGTCGAGGTGAACAGAACTGCAGGCTGACATAGGTGATCTCAAACTTTTTACCCAGTGAAAGGGTGAGAGTCACGTTGTGCGGCGAGGTGTTCAGATTCTCCGACTGCCAGCAGGTGAGGTTGTGCGCTGAGTTGAGGTCAGTGAGGTAGGAAGCTGGGTGGGCACGGCGAGGGTCCGCGGCGTCACAGATTTGGCACGAGCGCACAGATGGCCGATCGTCGCCCCGCTCCACAACGCTGCAGGACCGGGATGCAGGCCGGCCGCAGACGCTGGACACCATCACCTCCTTGCCAAAGGCAGCGTTGATAAACTCGGGGATACAGCGGCGGGCTGCGCCTTGGTCGTCATAGCAAGGGTCCGGAGGGGTCTGCTGCCCTGAGAAGGGGTTGGTGGCGCTGTGGGTGAAGGCTGAGCATGTCAGGAGGATCAGGACCAGCAGGCACCTCCAGGGTTCCCCCATCCTGCTTAGAGGGCCTGAGTGTGTGTGTGTGTGTGTGTGTGTGTGTGTGTGTGTGTGTGCGCCTTCGTTAATGCAGAGTCTTTGGGTGTGTACCCCAAACGTCTGTGAGTGTAAATGTGGATGTCGTGGTGCAGATGTGTCTGTGTGTGTGACTTTTCCCCTATGTGTGTATAATTGTGAGTCAGTGGAAGCGAAGTGTCTGAGCTCAGTGACCCTTCACTTCAGGCTGACCAGAGCCTTCCTGCAAGAAAAAGAAACAAACAGAAAAGGTCAAGGTCATGGACATATTTTTTTACCATAATAGGATATAAAATAGAATGTAATCCGACTGTATAAAAACAACTTTGACCATCTTCCAAACTAAATTACATTTGCCCTTAGGAAGGAAATTAAATTGTATCTTGTACTGTACAAGTGCATATTTTCATTGACTAAAAGCCTGTCAAAGGATAAGACAGTTAGACGGGGGCCCCAAGGGAAAGGATGTGACCATTTAAAGAGAGACATTAGTCGCTGCAAGTGACTGCATCCTGAATTGTAATGCCGGCCTCTCATTCAGGACTTCCATTCAGGTCAAAAGTGGACCAAAGCTTTCTGGTCATGCTTCAGCAGCATGGCAGAAGTCACCCCATAATCCCTGGCTATTCTGCAAAGCAGTGGACCGTGTGTGACCCTGGTCATGGCTCTGCTTCAGGGTTATGTTTTGAAAAAAAGGGAACTATTTTTATATATGAAGACATGGCTTTACTTTTCAAGTTCTTACGAATTTGATGGGAAATCAACCGTTGCAGCACTATTGTTACACAGTGCTGACCCTAGAGAAGGAAGCATTATCTTCATTCACTGAAGCAGAACATTCTCCAAAAGTGATAGCTGCTTAGGATTATACTGAGGCTATGAGACTCCATTCAAGCCTTTCACAATCTCTGGGTCAAGATAGATACCTGGATGACATCATTCATACGCTCACAGCTAGACGAGGGGCCTCTCTGTCCCAAAAAGAGAAAGATTGAAGGAGGGGGGGGGGGGGGGGGGGGGGGGGGGGGGGGGGGTAAAGCCTTTTGGCGAAGAAAAGGACAGAGAAAGAGATATATATAGCCTGAGGCTTTCCTTCCTTAATCCCCTTTTTACTTCCCTGGGTGTCAAATCCAGAAGAGCCCCATTTCAAAACAGACAGCTGAGGGGGTGAGAAGGCACCCCAGCCCTCTTAGCTAGGTATTTATTAAATGACAATGAATCCCACCCACCTCCTCTTACCCTCACTCTCCCTCTTATACTACAGCATCCCTCTTCATCTCCGTAGAACAAAAGGCCGCCTCTGTATCCACTTCAGTCAAGCGGGGAAGGCAGACAGACGGTTTAAGGGGAGACGGAAAAACAAAAGTTTCGTTCTTTTCTTATGCGAGGGGTCCAAAGCTAGCAACCCCTCAAAAAAGGGCCCAGCGGCCTGGTAAATAGGAGCAGTCTTCTGTGTTCAAGTGCTTAAACCCAGCCATTTGGCCCCTTCTCAGGGGTGTTAAGGGAAAATAGTGTGAGGGAATTATACCAAGCATAAGACTTTGGAGAAGAAATAGCGGAGGCACAGCTGTTTCTTATGGCAATGATAGAAATGTGAAGGTAACTGCACATAATACAAAAAGAAAAATTCAAACTTCTGGAGGTTATTTTGAACTAAAGGGATAAGTGTGTATTTCCTGTAATGCTGAGGTAGCCCAAGAAGTTTGAACACAAAAAAAAGTGCTATGCTGTTACAATATTCATCATATGAAAAATGGAGTGCATGGAAATGGGCCTGCTCATAAATGATTGGAGTAAGTGGGCTTTGCCAGGACGGATCAGGCCATTGATCAATGACATGTGTCTGAGGACGAGGAGGTTAAAGTGGGCACACAGGCGGGAGTTCATCAGCCAAGGCACTCCATCAAAAGGCTGGCCGCTGTAAAGCTGGCGGGCCCGACACCCACCGGGGGGGGGGGGGGGGGGGGGGGGGGGGGGGGGGGCACGGGAGCCGGCTGATAGAATTAGCAACTCATTAGCATCCGGGCCCAGCTTCCATCAGCAGCATGGAGAGACAGTGGGGAGGCTGTGAAGGGGAAGAAGGGGGGTGTGAAGGAGCGGGAGGAAGGCGTAGACGTTATGACAGGTGAGGGGGAAAATATGGAAAGAGGGAATTATTCAGACAGAATTTGATGGGTATGCTGTTGAGGGAGTGAGAGGAAGTTTAATGAAAAGCAGGAAGGAAACATGCTTACAGGCGTAAGAGACTGAAAGAGAGGACAAACAGGCACAAGGAAGAGTTTCAGTAGATAAGAACCAAAAGAGGGGGAGAGAAACAGCGAGGGACGCGACAGTGATAAAGCAGAAATGACTCGAGGGGGGGGGCGAGCGAGGACAGATATGAATGGAAGCAGTTTGAGAGAGAGGGAAAGTGACAGAGATGGAGGGAGGGAGTCAAAGGAAGGACTTTTAAAACGAGAAAGGGAAAGATGGAGAGAGAAAGAGACTGGAGGCAGATTAAGGTGCAGGACAGCGTTGGTCTGTGTCTGGACGTCGGATGACTAAATATGGTGCGGTCCGTGTGCCGCCGGGCCTGCTGGGAGATTCTTCCAGAGTCTGGTGCTGTCAGGCGCGTCTGGCAGATGAGCTTGTAGGTTAAACAGAGAGAGAACAGTGACACGGCTGTTTAATTCAACTCTGTACGCCCTCTGAAATAGATGCTAGCCTCGCAGCAAGTGTTAGGGCTCCTCGGAGGCGCTCCAGCAACACTATGCTCTGGCAAAGAGCTGCTCTTTATGAGAAACGTCTTCCACATTGCTATAAACACTGAGCCAGTTCCACAACATCTTGCTGGATCCATGAAGCTTTGCCAGGATGTCACAGTGGTGTAGCTGGCTGACCTTTAGATACTTAGAATCTGTTTCAGCAAGAACAATTCTTTGCTTTCAGCATTGACAAGTGTGTTTAACAAGCAACAATCTTGCCTCAGTGGGGGCAGACATTGTCTTTCATTAAATGTGGTTGAAGTAGCAACAGCTGCAGGCCCCTCTTTCTGAAGGAGACAATGCATACCACACTGAAGTGCTGCTGGTTGTAGCTTCATTTTAGGTTTACAAACATGTATCGATCTTCTCATCTAATTCAGCACAGAAGCTAATAAGCCTATTTGTTAAATGTCAGACTGTTGCTTGTATACAACAAGAATTAATCCATGAATTAAAACCTGTGTCAACTTTTCTAAGATATAAGCTTCTTAGGCCGATCTTGCCAAAATAAATTCTTAGTTGGCTATGTTGACTTATCGTTTAGTGCAACAGCATAATATGTGAAAAGCAACTTATAATACAGTGGTTTGTCTGATGTTACAAAACGTTTTTCCTCATATTTTGTGCATTAACCTTTGAATGTCCATTTTCCCTCGCTACAACATGCATAATCGGTTCAACGTAAAAGTTGTCTTCAAAGCACACAAGTTAGTTACATTTAGGCAACAAAACCGCTCTCTACTAACAGCGGTCTCCTGACCCAAACCATCTCCCTACCCAGAATTCCTTGCTTTGTATGCTTCCTGATTCACAATAACATGGAATATACACACATTACAGCACATAAAAATGTCATAGGTATAGCTTCAGAGTATGAGAACAAGCTAAAAGACAAACTGTTCCTGCAGCAGCTCAGACATTTCTAAGTGAATGGCTGCTGGGAGTGTGGTGATAAATACAAACAGTATAGCCAATTCATCACTGCTGCATTCCTCTGTGGATTAATGGCGAGGAAAATGTACTTGTGTCGACGTGCTACAACCCCCTTTGGCTAAGCTACTGCAGCGTTACTCTAGATGACTTGCCCATTAGTGTTATGGACACAGTATGCGAATGGATGAAAAAATATGGGGCTTTTAGAGTGGAAGCGGAGTGGAGTAAGAAGTCGTGTCTCACCTAAAAAGGCTACTCAGGCCATTTGGCTATTGGAACGTATTCAAGGGATTTAATCAAACTGAGACAGCGCAATTAGAGAAGGTAGATGATGGAGGGCAGAAGGAAGGGAAATTAGAGGGGGGTGAGGAATAGAGAGAGAAAGAGAGACAGGAACAGGAAGATGACAGGGTGGTCCGGTGGTTTCAGCAACGTTTTTTCAGCTTCTCTCTGTCACCGGGAGATCATCCCATGTTGAGTTGTCTCTCTTTCAAGCGTGGGCTCCTCTGTCAGAGTTCACAGATTAGGAAAACAGAAGTCGCTGAGAAGCTTTATTTGGCTTGGGTGTAGAGGGGAGGGCGCAGTGGGAGGTGAGGATAGGAGAGGGACAGCTGAGCCACTTTGTATCCCAAGTGGGAACCTTTCCCGCTGCTCCAGAGTTGGCGTGGTGGCCCCACTAAGACTGGGAGTGAATGGGGGTCTATGGGGTCGCCTCTCTTGGTTGACAGCAAGCTGGGGCCCAAACTGGTGCCCTGCTGTCCTCCAGCCTGCTGTACAGTAATCCCTGGTGGGGTTATTAGTGGCTGCTCAGAACCATGGAGGACTTTTTAATAGGCTAACAACAGGACCACCTCCATTCTCATTATCATTATGGAAAGATGCATTGTATTCATATCAAAGAACACAGTGAGAGCGCCAGCAGTCAAAAATCCCCCTGAACGCAACATTTTTTGTTTGTCTTTGATGCATTACACGGGAACATCATATCAGCTAATATGGGTTTTATTATTAGGTCACATTTCGGATCATTTTAATTCAAGATTAATCGTTTTGACTCAAGAAAAATATTTTTTTCTTGAACAAATTACTTTCAAAAAAAGTAAGATTGTCAAACGTTTTGGGGATTCATTTTCTGTCAATGACCACATCGATAAATAGAATATTTTGTTCAGCCCCAATCACATCATCACCATCTGTATCCTCACCCACACACTCATTTAATTGGTAAATAAACATGTCCAGATGAATCAACATGACTGACAGGCCTCAGGTAACAGGGGTCAGATATTGGTGGCCTGAATTCCACTTGACGATGGGCGCAGTGGTGACGGCAATCCTACTGTTGTTGTAAGTGTGTGTGTGTGGGGGGGGGGGGGGGGGGGGGGGGGGGGGGGGGTATAGGGTGATCAGAGTTCCTTGCTGGCATTCATTAGGGATTTAGGAGAAGGGGAGGAGGAGCAGGGAGAGCCGAGGGCAGGAGGGGGTCAGCTCTCACAGCTGAGAGCGTCATTAGCAGAGGGATCACTGACAAATTTGAAAAGTCTGC